AAACTTTCAATGCAAAGAGTAATTCCTAGAGTAAATATACAGTATATTTTAGATAAATTGAAAAATTATATATACTTAAATCACCGAGTGGGTTGGAATTCATTTTTGATAAACCAAATGCAGATAAACTACTGAAACCGAATGATTTTTACTTGAGGTTTGAAGGACACAGGGGTAAATGTGGTACCTACTCTACTGGTCAGAATGTTCACCAGTCCCATTTCTGTCTCAAAATGCAGAAAACAAAAAGTGGGGACCAATGTGCACTTCCCATGATGGATGGAAAAAATTGCAAAAAATGTGGTCAACCAGAAATGGGTATTGAGATTTCCTTCAGTTGGTATTTTTATAAGTGCTCTGGAAAAAGAAGGGCAAAAAAAACCCTCTTGAGTTTGCAGTAAATATTACCCTCTTTTGGGTAATAAAATGCTAAACTGCATTTGAAAATTTGAAAATAAACTGCAAGATCTCTTAAAGTGCTTGGAGTAAACAGTTGAGCTGCGGGCCAGATGAAAACCCTAATACTTAGATATAAATGGGCATTAATTATGACCTGGGAGACTAATAGTCTGTGTTTATTTCCTGCTGACATTGGCCTCTAAAGGGACAATGGCATGCCTCTGGAAAGGGGTAATGAAAATAACAGAAACCATTCCCCCAATTTTATGAAACCATTCTTCAACTGCTCCAGAAATACTCTATAATTTTAATTGCGATAGTTTAAGAAAGAGTGGGCTAATGTCCAGAGTGAGATAGCCAGGATGATCAAGGGGCTGAAGTATTACATGAGTTTGGGCTGTGGAAGAGTAAAAGGACTGGAACTCTTAAATTTGAAAGGTGAAGGCTTACAGACATGGTTTTTTAAAGTATTTAAATTCACAAAGGGTACTAGATGTTTAGTTTTCGGGTAGGGATGTGTGTGTGTGTGTGTTTGTGTGTGTGGGTGTGTACATGTTATGTGTTTTAGATATAAATAAAATAAAATGCAATATTACATAGCTATAGTAAGCTTTATGAACCTTGGTATCAAAAAAGGGGATGAGATAAAACATTTAAATAGATACCAGTCCACCTGGGATGAGGCTGGCCCAGGAAATTTTGAGTACATTCCTAAGCTTCTGATTTAGGATCCTTTGAGAAAGACACTGGTCCTCAGGCTACCTCAGTGTCCCCAGAGCACCTTTAACATCAGTGGTGGGCACAGAGTATGTGCTGAAAAGACTCAGGTGATGTGAAATCTGTAATTTATTTTATCATCTTTGAAAAACATACGATCGAAAGAATCCTTAGCAGTTGAACAGATTTATGTTCAACTAAGGCTCTTAGATGTTTCTGTTTTGATTCAACTTACTGAGAATTTCTAAGGTTCCAGTTTGTGAAAAATGACTCCATTTGGGCAACAGGACTTAGAAATCCATGAAATGTTCTCAAGAAAGTCGGCAGTAGCTTCAGTTTTTCCCTCAAGGGGATGTTTACATTCTTTGAAAAAAACAGTATCTCATTACTGTCATCTACAGTGTTGTATGATACTTGTTTTGGAATATTACCTAACAATTTTCTCAACTTTTAAAATAATTTTTATAAACTTTCATAATATTTGTTAATAATGATACTTTGTCAGTAAAATTAATTTTTTTCTAGTTTGAAGATTACAAATTTAATTGGGTTTATCCCAAAGAGAAATACCTAGTACAGTATTTAGAATGCATAAGGATGGAAATTATTGCCAATTTATTATTTGTGCTAACTTACTTATTGCAGCTCAATGTTATTTATAATGTGAAAGATTCTGGGTCTTCTAGAAGACGAAGATCTATCCCAAATCAAGAAGCCTTTGATTTAGATGTTACTGTAAAAGATAATAAAGATGATATCAATCATGTGAATTTGAGTGTGTGCACAAGGTAAGTAATCTGTCTAGGTTCTTCTTCTCTTTCTTTTAAAGAAAATAGATTTGAGATTAAATTATATATAGTTGTCTATATCAATATAAGGCATTATATGTAACAAACAATTCAGTTATGCATTACGCTTCAGATTATAAGCTGGAAATACTACTAATTATATTTAAGCATTTTTTAGATGTGTCCAAAAATTGTTTATAAGTTTTCATTCTATTTATAACAAGTTTGAATAGAACAGTATATTTAAATTAATAAAACTCAGGTCTAATTTAGGAAACTTTAAATTAATCAATCGTATTTAATACTACATATATGATTATTTCTTGTTATGAGTTATCTTTCTGTTGAAATAATTATTCCAGGTTCATATTTAACTTAACTGTTGTGCTTTTTAACCCCAAACTTTATGAGAACAATGCAAATTCAATGAAGGGAATAGTTTTTTTTAGAGACACTGAAAACATTCCAGTTTAGAATGTTCTCATCTTGGATAATTAGACACTTACAGCTGAAGATTCTGGGAGCACTTATTAATGTGATTCTTAAACCTGTATCCAGGTCTGTATCCAGAGCATCTGAGGCTCTTGTTAGGTCTTAAGGGAAAGGCTCCTGACTTAGCAGCAGCGCTGTGAAGCCGCAGCTTCCTGGTCATTTTGATGCACACACAAGTTTGAGAATACTCATGTGAAAGTTCTTGAATCAAGAGGCTTTACAATGTTTTTCTTGTCAACCAATCCTCATATATCTGCATTATTTGGTGTTGAGCTGGGAGTTACTATAAAGATGCAATGACGTTGAGGAGCTGTTGTCTGCTCTTTTGGAATATCCGTGTCATTCTGGCAGAACTTAACTTGTTGGACTGGGAGCCACTGATGTGGTCCTGAGCTGCCAGATGCTCTCCAGGGTCATTTCTGGGTGTTCACCCAGGTGATCGGTCGTCTTAGCCATTGCCTGAACCCAGTCTCCTCCGTTACTGCTACCACCTGTATTATCCTTGGACTCTCTTGTCCCTGATTTTGGGGTAAAATGTTACATGTTTGCCCCATTCCTCACCTTCTTAGGCATTCTGAGCCAGCAGCAGGGCATATCAGAGTCTCTGCAGTGGCTTCCTTTTTAGCTGAGAAGAAAGTACGTCTCTAATTATTCTTTGCTAAGCTTGCAGTTGGCCTCTGTTCCAGAATGACAACGTAGAGGTATTATATTATAAACAGTAACAATCTACATTAATCACAAACTTATATGCCAGGCACTGTACCACACGTTTTTACATGCCTCTCATTTAATTCTTGCAATAACTCTATAAATTAAGTGCTATTATTATTTCTGCTTTCCTCATTTATTCATTCCTATTTTCATTCACTCAGTAAACATTGTCTGTCTGAATCTGCACCATGTGCCAGGCACAGTGTCAGGCATGGGAATATAGTGGTGAGCCAAAAACACACAGGCCCTGTGAGGGGAGACAGACTTTAATAAAAAAGAATCCCCTCAGCAAGTCTAAAATTCTGGTTTTGAGGAAGGCAAAGAAGAAGAGGCTCGTGGAATTATGAGACGGGGATTTTTACCTCTTAGGTAGGTTAAGTGAGTAAACATGAGGAAAATGCGGTGGAACCAGGATTCAGACAACAAAGAGGCCTCATCCTTTATAGGGGTTCACATAAGGATGCAGGCTTCCCAGTCTTCACCCAGCATTGGGAATCAGGTTGGTAGGTAGAACCTGAAGAAGGGAAATGTTTTCCTGTGAGGGGAGGGGTTTTACAAAAAGGATTTAAATGCTGTACTAGTTTTCTGAGGAAACTCTGGTATGAAGCACAAATAATATGTAAGTGAATTTTTTCAGCAGCACATTATAAAAAGATTACCTGATATTTCAGCCACTTTATTCCTATCAACAGGGTCCAAGACCTTACCTCATACAGGGCTTTCTGTGCGGTATGGTAGTTTAGCAAATTCTGCCCCTGGTTGGTGGAGAGACCAGGTCAACCAAGGCACTTTTGATGATGTACTAACAGTATAATCTGCACCACACTTTTAAGTATTTAAGCTTATTGGCTGTTTTTCTCATCCGTAATTTTTGCTCATATACAAACACCTCTAGTTTCAGTCCAGTTATTGGTTTTCAGTAGCATCTATTTTGGCGAAGTGCATCACTCAGCAGATGGTTTTAGTTGCTTTGGGTTGCGGGGCCAACTGAAGTCAGCAGTTGTACTGTATGGCTTTTCAATCAGTCGTGTTTGGCAGGCGACAGTTCACTGCTCTAAAAGCAAGATTTTCTAACAGCCCTTCATGCTTTTGCCATCTACAAGGACAACAGGAACTAACTTAATGCTATGATCCTTTTATGTTGGAGGCAAACTTCTTTCCATAATGACTCGGGGTTCTTGTTGTTCCAAATGAAAAGCTCTTGCCATTTATTCATTTCAGAAAAATATTTATTTTCAAGGAAACAAAACGTTGTTGGTGTCCAGATCCTTTAGTGCTCACATTGTGTACAACAGGGTGAGAGAAGGATGCGGTGTAATAAAACTTTCCAAGGCTTATAATTCTCTCAAGGTGGCCAAAGAAAACAACAAAATGTGCCAAGTATGTGGGAGAACAAAGGGAAGGCTTTTCCCTACTGTTCTCATTTTTCTAAAACAAGATGAAGAAAAGGTTGCTAAGGACTTGGCTGGGGTCTACCACTAAGTGGTCAAGGGATGTCTCCTTTTCAGGTCCTGGCTTTCAACTGCAAAGTTTGGTGTGGTCAACTTTTGAGAAAATGAAAAATGCAGCTCAGTTTGAATCACCACTAGAAAACAGAGTTATCTGTTGAAAGGATATATAATAAGTATACCTGTTAACAACCTGTGAGCACAAGCCTGCCACACTACAGGAATTTCATACTGTCTGTCAAATGAACACATTATTATGTCATCGTTCCCCATAGGGTTGAGAGTTATAAGAATATCACATATGTAAGAAAAAGATAACCTGTTTTAAAATTCTCTATGGTGAATTTTATTTGAACTCTAACAGTATTTGGAATAACATTTGGCAGTTTTCATTTTCGTATGAAGATCATTTGCTAACAGCTTTAGGTTTTTCCTAAAGGGTTTTCTTTCATCCTCCCCTCTTTGATTTAGGTTTTTGGGCCCTGCTAGGAGTGGCATGGCTCTTATGGAAGTTAACCTACTCAGTGGCTTTACTGTGCCTTCAGACACAATTCCTCTAAGCGAGACAGTGAAGAAAGTGGAACACGATCATGGAAAACTCAATCTCTATTTAGATTCTGTAAGTAGTAAAATGTTAAGTTTCATATTGGTAACTATTGACAAAGCTACCATTTATTATGTTCAAATGTCTACCTTACTTTAAGTATGTTTTCATTAAGTCATTATTATTTTGGATTTTTGTGTCCCTGCTTAACTTTAACATGACAATAATATATTTGTCTCTACTGAAAAGACATCACTATGAAATTAGTTTAGAGAGATTCACTGTTAATGATAAGCCTGGTGACGATCTGATAGCTAAGTCATTATATCATGCCAGCTATAAAATACATAGAAATTTTTATATCATAATTTAAAAAAATTCAGTCCAGATCTCAATTTGACAATTGCTGTGCCTCAGGGAATTGCTAAATATATTTGTTTAAATGCTGAAGATGAAAGCTTTAATGACACATTTTAAAATGATTTCATAAAGCTTTTAGCAAATCTCAAAGGGGTTAATATTTATCCCTTGAAAAGTTAGGTGCTTAAATCATAAAAGAATATTTTCAGAGGTTTGGTCTTGACACAGAATTATATAACCTTCATGTATTCTTCCCATTGCTGTGTGAGTGCTACTGTTCCAAGAATAAGGTGCATAAAATAGGTGAAGGAAAGGTAAGTGAAGAATTCCAGACTCTACTTTTTTTTAAATTTCAAAATATTACAGGGGTACAAATGTTTTTGGTTACATGTATCAGTTTTATTATGCTTGAGTCAGGGTTATAAGTGTGCCCATCACCCAGATAGTGTTCATTGTACCCGTTAGGTAGGTTTTTGTCTATTCCTCCTCTCTCCTCTCTTCTGCTTGATTTCCACTGAATTTTACTTCCTTCTGTGCACATGTGTGCTCATCAGTTAGTTCCCGTTTAATAGTGGGTACATGGGTTTATTTTTCCATTCTTTAGAAACTTCACTTAGGATAATGGTCTCCACTTCCATCCAAATTGCTGCAAAAGGCCTTAATTCATCCTTCTTCATGGCCGAGTAGTATTCCATAGTATACATATACCACATTTTGTTAATTCACTCATGAATTGATGGGCACTTGGGTTGATTCCACATTTTTTCAGTTTGAATTGTGCTGCAATAAACATTCAAGTGCCCATGTCTTTTTGATAAAATGACTTCTTTTCCTTTGGGTAAATACCCAGCAGTGGGATTGCTATATTGAATGGTAGGTCTACTTTTAGTTCTTTGAGGAATCTCCATACTGTTTTCCATTGAGCTTGTATGACTTTGCAGTCCCACCAACAGTGTATAAGTGTTTATTTCTCTCTGCATCCACACCAGCATCTATTGTTTTGGACTTTTTAATAAAAGCCATTCTAACTGGGGCAAGGTGATATCTCACTGTGGTTTTAATTTACATTTCCCTGATAATTAGTGATGTTGAGCATTTTTTCATATGTTTATTGGCCATTTGTCTATCTTGTTTTGAAAAGCTTCCATTCGTGTCTTTTGCCTACTTTTTAATAGGGTTGTTTGTTTTTTCCTTGCTGATTTGCTTGAGTTCTTTGTAGACCCTGGTTATTAGTTCTTTATTGGATGTATAGCTTATGAATATTTTCTCCCATTCTGTAGGTTGTCTATTTACTCTGTTGATTATTTCCTTTGCTGTGCAGAAGCCTTTTAATTTAGTCAAGTCCCATTTATTTATTTTTGTTATTGCTGTGATTGCCATTGGGATCTTCTTCATAAATTCTTTGCCTAGGCCGATACTAGACAAGTTTTTCCAACATTTTCTTGGAGCATTTTTATGATTTCAAGTCTTTAATGTATTTAAGTCTTTTATCCATCTTCAATTAATTTTTATGAGTGGTAAGAGCTATGAATCCTCTTTCAATCTTCTGCATGTTGCCATCCAATTTTCCCAACACTATTTATTTAATAGATCTTCTTTTCCCCAGTGTATATTGTTGTCTGCTTTGTCAAAGATCAGTTGGCTGTATGTGGATGGTTTTATATCTGGATTCTCTGTTCTGTTCCATTGGTCTTTTTCTCTATTTTTGCGTCATGCTGTTTTGGTTACTGTAGCCTTGTAGTACGGTTTGAAGTCTGCTAATGTGATGCCTCCAGATTTGTTCTTTTTGCTTAAGATTGCTTTGGCTTTTCGGGCTCTTTTCTAGTTCCACATGAAGCGCAGAATTATTTTTTTCTAGATCTGTGAAATATGACATTGTTATTTTGATGGGGATTGCATTGAATTTGTAAATCACTTTGTGTAGTATGGACATTTTAACAATGTTGATTCTACTGATCCATGAGCATGATATATTTTTCTATTTGTTTCTGTTGTCTGCGATTTCTTTCTTCAGTATTTCATAGTTATCTTTGTAGAGATCTTTCACCTCCTTGGTTAAGTATATTCCTAGGTGTTATATTTTCTTTGTGGCTATTGTAAATGGTTTGACTTTGATTTGATTCTCAGGCTGATTGTTATTGGTGTATAGGAATGCTACTGATTTATGTACTCTGATTTTGTGACCTGAGATTTTACTGAATTTATTTATCAATTCCAGGAGTCTCTTGGTGGAATCTTAGGGGTTTTCTAGATATAAGATCATATTATCAGCAAAAAGCAATAGTTTGATCTCCTCTTTCCCTATTTGGATACCCTTTATTTCTTTCTCTTTACTGATTGCCCTGGCTAGGACTTCTAGCACTGTGTTGAATAGAAGTGGTGACAGTGGGCACATTTGTCTTGTTTCAGTTCTTACTGAGAATGCTTTGAACTTTTCCCCATTCAATATGATGTTGGCTGTGGGTTTGTCATATTTGGCTTTTATAATCTTGAGATATGTTCCTTCTATGCCTAGTTTGTTGAGGGTTTTTTATCATGAAAGGGTGCTGAATTTTGTTGAATGCTTTTTCTACATCAGTTGGGATGATAATATGGCCTTTTATTTGCTTTTGTTTATGTGGTGAATCACATTTATAAATTTGTGTATGTTGAACCATCCTTGCATCCCTAGGATGAAGCCCTCTTGATCATCATGGATTATTTTTTTTATGTGCTGTTGAATTTGGTTTGGTAGGATATTTCGTCTATATTCACAAGGGATATTGGTCTGTAGTTTTCTTTTTTTGTTGTGTCCTTTCCTGGCTTTGGTATCAAGATGATACTGGCTTTGTAGAATGAGTTGGGAAGGATTCCCTTGTTCTTCATGTTATGAAATAATTTCTGTAGTGTGGGTACCAATTCTTTGTAGGTCTGGCAAAATTCAGCTGTGATGCCATCTGGTTCGAGGCTTTTTTTTTTGGTTGGAAGAATTTTTGTTACTGCTTCAATCTCGTTGCTCATTATTAGACTGTTCAGGAGTTCTATTTCTTCCTGATTGAGTCTTAGAACACTGTATGTTTCCAGGAATTTGTCCATTTCCTCTACGTTTTTGAGTTTATGTGCATAGAGTTTGCCATAGTATTCACAGATGATATTTTGTATTTCTGTGTATCAGTTGTAATATCTCCTTTTTCATTTCTGATTGAGCTTATTTGGATCCTTTCTCTTCTATTCCTAGTTAATCTAGCAAGAGGTCTATCAATTTTGTTTATCTTTTCAAAGAACCAGCTTTTTGTTTCACTGATCCTTTGTATTGGTTTTTTTGTTTTTGATTTCATTTAGTTCTGCTCTGAGCTTAGTTATTTCTTGTCTTCTGCTGGCTTTAGGTTTGGTTTGCTCTTCCTTTTCTAGTTCCTTGAGATGTGTCATTAGATTATTAATTTGTGATCTTCTGTCTTTTTGATGTAGGCATTTAAGGCTATGAATTTTCCCCTTAGGGCTGCTTTTGCTGAATCCCATAGATTTTGATAGTTTGTGTCCCCTTTGTCATTCAGTTTGCAGACTCTACTTGTTATGTCTCAAAACTGCTGGCATGAAAATTTATTTTTTTTTTTTGTCTAGCATCTTTATAATCCTTATAGGTTGACTCAATATTGAGTTCTAAGCATTCTTAGGATTTCATGTTATATGGGAGGAATACATATGTTTCTTATTACAGTTTTGCCAAGTATGAATCAGAAATATATTGCTAAATATCTACTTTAAAAAAGCTAGTTCCTGAATGTTTCCATTGGTTTGGCACTTCAAAAACCATTCTGACTAAAGCCCTGTTAAAACTCATTCAGTTTTCAGATTCTTTTGCTCTTTAGGAATTTTCTTTTATTAAATAATGCTTAAAATCCGTGGGTCTGATTTGGAATTTGAAAAATAAATTTAAGGTTTTTATTTAGTATGTAATTGGTTTTGAAGTTTGTCTTGTATTCTGATGTTCTTGTTAATGGTTTTCTTACTTTGAGTGTTCAGTACTTTTTGAGTGATTAATTTGACTTTTCATTTACTGCTATTGGCAAGTAGTGGGAAATTTGAAGTAATTTATTAATTTTTGATTCCTTAACCAGCATTGCTTACCAAATTGGCAAACGCTGTTTCTCCTAGAGGCAAGGAAGCTGGCCTTGTGTACCCCATATCAGTCATTGCTTGTGGAGTATTATCTGCATCTTGGAGTTACCCCACTTACTGGGTGATATGGCTCCTATCAGCTGAGGGTGATTCCCAGGAGAAGGGTGCTGATCTGGTGAGGCATCATGGTCCCAGGAATGTGCACCCTCAGGCTTGCTGCTTACTTAACGCTAATTCTCAATATCCCTTATCAGCAAAATGGAACTAAGAACAATACCTATCTTGTGAGGGTTGTTACAAATTAAATAAGATAATTCATAGGAAGTACTTACTGCAGTACTTGGCACATAGAAGTCCTTCCTAAATGTTATATGTTTCCTAAAATGATAAGACAAGTAATGTATTTTACTTTATTTATCATGAACATATTTCCTCAAGAGTCTTTTGTATTTTTCAAGGTAAATGAAACCCAGTTTTGTGTTGATATTCCTGCTGTGAGAAACTTTAAAGTTTCAAATACCCAAGATGCTTCAGTGTCCATAGTGGATTACTATGAGCCAAGTAAGTGTGTTTTTGAGTTCCTAATGCTTAAGAAGTTAAGCTAGGCGTTCATTCATTTATTCATTCATTCAAAGTGTCCACCTATTAGATTTTTTTTGTGAAAGATTGGTAGGGAAAAATGTAGGAGGTAGGGATGTAGGAGGTAAGCTTTCCATTTAAATGAAGACTATTGATAACTTACAAGGGTCACATGATAACATTTAGCTAATGAATATTCAAAAGTGATATTTTTGCTCATAATGTTTTAGGATTTTAACTCACAATTTACGAAGAAAAATTGACATAGAAAGTCCAGTTATGTTCAGTTTCCAAGGTTTTGCTTCTATTCCAAGCACTCATTTCATCTGGTTCCTGTTTTAAAATGGGAGTTCTTTAGGAGGGAGCATGAGCAGCATCCACAGTGTAATAGTGTTTAACTGGGTTTAAATGTTTCTTCATTGAGGGAGTCTGATGTTTTGCTAAAACTTATACTTAATAACAGATTTTCGTTTTAGTATACCGAGAAAAATATAGTCTGTTTTGAAAATAACTTGAGCTTCTTTGATTTTACTGGTAACTTCTTATTTTATAAAATGATAGGAATTTAGGATGTGAAAATAGAGGGCTTTTCTTGAGATATCCCCCAAGTTAAATAGGACTGATCTACATTCAGTCACAGAGTGTCTTTTTGTGAGTTGTGTGATCTCTGGGCTAATATTTCTAATTGTAATAAATCTCATGATCACACACGGTGACTCAGAATTGTCTCAGAATGCATGAGAAGCATGAACATTTTCATGTGTTAGGTATTTGTAGATAATTATACTTTAAAATAAAACAAACTTATTTATATTGTTGGTAGTGCCTGAGAGAGTGTTCAAGACTGAGGTGTAGCACCAGTTCTCTCTCCTTCTCAGTCAACAAACCAGTTGACCTTGCCTGTCTTTGATCTCCTACTGGAATTGAGGAAGAGGATACACCCAGGTTCTTGTGGGACATTTTGGGAAACTTAGTTGCAAAATTCCCCAGTCCATATTTCTTAGGTGCATGGAGAACTTTAAAAAAAATTAAGAAATGAAAAAGATTCAGTCTGTGTAATTATTTTGTGGAAAACAACTTATTTATGAGGGGCCATTTTAAAATGAAAATATGGGAAAGGTCAGAGTAATCAAAATCTACCAACCCATTTTTAAAAATCTGAAACACATTTATGGTAGGGAAAACAATCTCTGAAAAATCATGAAGAAATTTGAAAATAGAATGTGTTTTTAAAAATTGTAAAAACAAAACTCATTTATGTTTTATAGTGAGTTTACTATAGAATTATAGGTACTTTATAATATTAGCTTGTGCCATAAGTTTTACCCATATTGCATAAATAGCTTTAGACACCATGTGCTCAATGTTTTAAAACATTGAAACACGGCATTGCATAGGCAGACTTCCCTTCATATTTATGTATTTTTTTTAATAAGGCCCAGTGTTAGTGTCTCTTTTCAGTAGTCCTAATGATTAGAATTTTATTTGAATGCATAGAAAATGTCATCCTAAAAGAAACTCTTGAGGAGGTTGAACAGTCCTCAGTTGCAAATTCTTCCTGTTGTAGTAGGAGATCAGAGTGGTGCTTGCGACTGCAGGGTACAGCAGCAGTCTGTTTGCTCTCTTTTAACGTGGACCAACCACTAGTGGTAGATAGATTGGACTGAACATACTGTTTCCCTCTTGGATTTGGTTAGCAGTTCGGACCCCTCTTGAGCATTTCAATTATTTCTCGTAAAGAAAAATAAAATTACGTGAAGAATGGAAAACTCAGAAGAGTGTATTGAAATGCTCTTCCGTTTTGGCAAAGTAAATGTTTCTAAACAAGGGAGATGTGTAAACTGACGTCTGCCTCTTTGGACAGGGAGACAGGCGGTGAGAAGTTACAACTCTGAAGCGAAGCTGTCCTCTTGCGACCTTTGCAGAGACGTCCAGGGCTGCAGTCCTTGTGAGGATGGAACTCCGGGCTCCCTTCATCACTCTTCAGTCATTTTTGTCATCTGTTTCACGCTTCTGTGCTCTTTGCAACATTGGCTGGGATTTATTTTTTAAGGAATCCATAGAACACTAACATTTCCAGAAGTCACATGTGATTGTTTTGTTTTCACAATCAAATATTGCTTCTGACTGTTTTGAAAACCAGTTTTTTCTCTTTCTGTGGGTTTGAGGGGGATGGTGTCCAACAGGTCCTAGTATGTACAGCTGCATAGATTTCTTCACCTGATCTTTGTGTGGAAGAAGGTCAGAATGATTGCAGTTGTATATATATTTCCCCCTCTCCAAATCTTTTAGGATTTTTTTTTGAGGTGTTTGTTTTCTCTAGAATAAAAGTATTATTTTAGAATAGTTACTCTTCTTGTTTTGTAAAAGAAAAGAACCTGGGTTCTTAAGCATTGTTATGTATCAGTGTTTGCGTTAGTATTGAAGATGGATTTCCTTGGGAGCTGGGAGAAAACAAGCAGCAGGAGGATCTGGTTCTGTTCCCTTCCCACCTCCCGCTCACCCCACCCCACCCCAACCCCACCCCAACCCCAGTGGTCCCAGTATATACTTCTTAACTGGACATTAATTCCTTCTTTATAGATGGTAGGTGGTGATTTTTTTTTTAAGTGAAGTGGTTTTTTCCACTCCAAATCTGATCACATACCCCTTCCTTTACCCTCCCTCTGTTTTTCTTCTGGAGAAAAGAATGAGGGGGCCATGTGTTTTCCTGGACTTTGCACACTGGCTCAGAGGTTGAGGAATGTACTGACAACTGCCCTGAGGGGTACTGGGTGTGCTCTCTCCCTCCCATGTCCTCAGCTCCAGCACTAGCTCTATTTCAAGGGTGAGAGTTGGAGACCATTGGAATATGTGCCTTGTGTGACTTAGGCTAGAAGAGCCTAGACCAGGAGACACTGTGAACCAGGAGTACAACAAAATACTGTATAAGTCGCAGTAGGCTGACCTCCCTGTTGTGTGAGAAAGAAGTTGGGGTTTGCAGGGATCAGAGAATCTTGACGCAACTGCTGATCTAAAGTATTATAGGGTGTTGGCCAAGGGATCCTGTAGAACTTCTAGGCTCAGGGGTCTGAGTGTCAGACTGCCAGCTGTCTGGTGATATCTGATGCTTACTGTCAATCTCTAAGAAGATTCCTGAATTCCGAGCACTTTAATACAGGTTACCCCGTATCCTGAAGGGTAATATTATTTATCTGGGTGAAAATTTTAAAGCAAAATCTGTTTCCTTCCCCCTTTCTTTTTCTCCTCTTTCTCTCTTCCTTCTTTCTTTCTTTTCATCCCTTTTCTACTTTGCCTTTTAAATATACTGAAATAATTTAGATATATAAAAAAATTAAGGATCTTCTACTAAATCTGGGAAATGCTTTAATTTTGCTCCTTTAACTCCATGGCATTTCTTTCAAGTGGGCATGGAGACAGTAGTTGCCTTGGGCTCTGAAGAGTTTGCTGTATATTTTCAGCTATTTAAAAATAAATCTATCAAAAGTATGAAAATATATCTTTTAAAGTTACTTTTAAAAAGAATGTTCTCATTTTAGTGAATTTTAAGAAATCATAGTGGAGTGGATGTTCATGTATTACTTATTGATGTTTTGGATACCAAGCTAGGAATAACCAACACTCAGTATTTTAAAGCTTGCAAACCTGTATGTATTAATAGAAAATAGATCCTCAGAGAGTGGTCTAGGAAGACCGTGGTTAAGTATCAAATACATAATTTTTTTGTATTTATTTTTAAGTGGGGAAAAGTTTTTAGATGTGTTGTACCTTTGACACAATTGTCCTAAAGAGGCACTTGTGTTTGGGCCTCCCTGTAATGGTGTTTTTGGACTTTATACTCTGGGACTTCTTTAGAGGTGAAATGATCTTATAATGAAGTTGGGAAGGGTTTTGGCGAAGGATGTCCCCCTTTTCTGCCCTGCCCAGGGAACCGTCTACTGACCATCAATACCTTATATTCTTCAGTACATAATTTATGGTGAACTTCCAGTGTAACACATTAGGAAAGGCCATTGGAAGACAGGTTGTATTTTTTTTAGACCATATTTCTTCATTTAAAAATTAGAATTCAAATACTTTTTTGTGAAGTACTTCAGATTTTCAGGTTAAAAGTCACCTTGTAACTCATCTCTTTTTATTATAAAATTATTAGAAATGAGGAAGGGGGCGAGGAGGAGAAAGGGTCAGCCAGCACTGCCTCATGGCGCGTGGGGCGTGGAGAGGTCCTGGCCCTTTCCTCACTCACATCTCTCTAAGAGAACTTGCTCTGCCACAGGCAATGGGTTTGGACTAGAAGTGATTAACGGCCACAGGCATAAGGAGAAAAGGAATACATGTGGTAGTTATAGTTAATCAGTAAGGTAGATTATTTGATTATTTTCTTCACATGCTATGAGTAATGTTACAAACCTCATTTTACCTTTCAGATTGCTTATGCTGATGCTCTTCCATTTAGAATGCTGGCAGTTTTATTTACTGGTAGGAACTAATTGAAAGTCCCCCTTCTTTTCCTCTGCTTGGGAACCTTATTAAGATACCAGTGTATCTCACTTCCCTTCTTGACCAGCCAATGGTTCCAGAGACTAAATGTTGGCAATATCCAGTAGCCAAACAATTCTAGGACAGCACAACACTTTTATATTTGGTTTCATCATTTACTACCTTTAGTTATGGTTCTAAAATAGAAATTAAAGCCCATTAAAATATGCCCAGTTAATGAAATGCTTCTTTTTATTATGTTATTCTATAACACTTTGTTTTTCAAAATATTCTAAAAATCGTATCTTTGGTTTCATATTTTGGTTATATTATAATGTAAGGAACATTGTGTTCATAAAGAATCCAGATATACACCTATTACCTAGCAGTTTGGTGCTTTTATATGCAATACCTTATTTTACATGTAGGAATTTTCAGAATTGTAGACAGCATAACTCTTCCTGATCCTATTATCTTGAGCCTGGGTATAGTTATTTTTTTAAAAAGTCATATTTAGCCTTAATTTCTTTTTATGCTAAACATAATTATAAATAGTGTGGCAATATAATGCCAACGATCTTTATTTTGACATAATTCAATGATTTCATTTGACATTTCTAGCTGTCTCATGACATTTTAAAAAAATTAGAACTATGATTTTTCTTTGTCATTTATTTTTTATAGAGCCATTTTATTAACCAGCTGGCATATAATCTGGAGTTCTGTATAACAACCTTATTTTTTCTAATTTGCTTCATTGAACTATTGAATACTTATTTCTATAAAAATATGTTGTAAATACCCCCTTGGCAAGATTTCTCAAGATAAAAGCAGTGATTATTTTGAATCTGCCAAGTGGCTACCATGGGTGAAGATGTCATTATATATTCTTGGGTGCTTTAATTTTCTTGCACATTGTAAATTTAAGACACTTATAGTAAGTGGATAAGCTTCAAAACCTTTTACATTCTCAGTAGAAGCTTCTGTTAGACAGGCAGAAGAGTATATTCCTCACTTTTCTTTGTCTTCAAATTCCAGTAAAGAATAGCACTTTTAGGAACTTAAAATTTTTCTATCATCTATTCAAATGATATTTATGTTAATATTAAATATATTTAGTTACATTGGGAGTAATTCGAGGTGCAATTATTTTTATCACTACTTTGAATAGAGGACCATTATTCTACTTTCTTCAGAAAACTAAGCAGTAAATGTAACTTTTTTATTAGGTATGTGTCAGTGAGAGTAGGCTTTGTTTTACTACTATTTCTGGCCCATGAGTTGTGTTTTCATGTGCCTCATCAAAAGACAGTAACACATTGCATCATTTTATAAAATACATTGTCATTTTCATTTCAATGATAACATAGGAAAATAGACATTTCTTAGGTGATTTCTGGGTGTCACACTTCAAAGGATGCTTGCTTATACATTGGTATGCATGTGTCTCTGTAGTAGGGATGGTTTTGGTTTGTGTTGCTACATATTTAGGAATCATTCCTTTTCATGTTGTCATGAGGCCAAGATTTACCACTTTTTTGCCCAGTGTATTGAATTGGTGGTAGAGTGTAGCTCCCTGTTCCATTTGTAGATCTTTAAGATTTATCTTTGATAACTTCAACAGAATGTGGCTTGGTTCTGGTCCTTCAAGCCTTCATGTTTTGGGTATTTAGTAGGATGCAGTTGATGTGGGGTCAATCACTTTGGTATGCAGGAAACTTTATAAAAATTTCATTTATAAATTCCCTGTTGTGGGAGGCTGTTTTGCAGATAAGAAGAGTACTATTGAAATAAACATTATTTTTTCCAGGAACTAAAGCTTTATATATTGATTGAGGTGATTCTGAAAGTTTTAATTTTAAATGTTGGAATGTTATGTTATTGTTAATTGTACTCTATTATGTATTCAATAGAAAATCATGATTCATCAATAAAAATTTAAATTCCCCTCTATTTATTGTATGTTCTTTCTATTTTAGGATAAAGCATATCTATAGCACATCTTCCTTACTTAAATTTATTTATGAGAAATGGTGTGTCTGAGGGTAGCTTAGAGTAGGTATTACTGTGTTACAAAGCTTGATATATGGATGAGGGTTGGCAGACTTGATCACTATCACCCTTCATCTCCCTCCTCATTCTTTGCTTTAGGTGCTGGCTGGCTGATGGAGGATAGGTGATACATAAATAAAAAATTAATTGTATGAGGCGAGCACTTATGCAACTTTTGGAAATTACATAGAAATACAGAATGCGTAGTTTGTATACATGTAGAAAAATGGAGGCACGGATGCTGCATCCACAATGTAACATTTCAGGTGCATTTTGATCCCCACCCAGTATTATTTCACACTTCTCTTGTTGTGAATTTTCTGGGCTTCTGTGACATGCTAAAGATAGCATAATGGTTAACAATCGGTGGTGATTTTGTCCCCTGGGCGATGTTTGCTGATGTCTGGACATAGTTTTGGTTGTCACAATTGGAGGTGGTGCTATTGACATCTAGCGAGTAGAGGCAGGGATGCTGCTCAACATCCTACAATGCACAGGCCCCCCAACAAGGAATTATTTGT